TTCATCTCTTAACGATTTAGAGGCTGCTTTTTAATGAAACTATTAAGAGGGAAACAAACAACTCACATCTTTAATTTCCATGTATATAGACATAAGATCTGAAGAGGATCCTACGAAAAACTTATCCAAATCGTTGGATTGATATCATCTAACAGATATGATTAAAAAGATGGTTATAATTACTTTTATTAGGAATACGAATATTTCCTCTTAATTTTTAAATCCAAAATCAGAGAAAAACCAAAAAGAAAAATTGAAGTAAAAAATATTATATAAAAAAACGATTATTTGATATATTTTTCTCTACTCATTCCTGTATTAACCGTATTTTAAAATACATTTGATTTGTTTGTTTGTATGTTTTTTTTATTTTAACTTCTTTCTTATTTTATATACATATATATATATATATATACATACATATATAGACTTGGTATCATGTGAGACCAATGGTTTTTCGTGAGACTCGTAAAACCAATTTTCAACCCTTAGATTAGATCTACAATCTGACAATCTAAGCATTCATAAACGCTACTAGACTTCTCAATAATCACAAAATTACCACCATACAATTTAGACTATTAGATTATTAACTTATAAAGTTGATCAATGAACATAAATTGGTTTTACGGGTCTCACGAAAAATCATTGGTCTCACGTGAACCTAACCCTATACACATACATATATACACATATATATATATATATATATATATACTTGGGATTATGTGAGACCAGCTTGTTTTCGTGAGACCAGTCTCTTTTCATGTTACTCGTGAGACCATTTCTTTGAACCTTCACTGTGTTTTTGTTGTGAATGTTCGGATTTTCTTACCTTCACAGCGTTTCTGCTGTGAAGTTTCAAGTGCAAAGAAGTAGTCTCACAGGTCTAATGAAAACAGGTTGGTCTCACGTGAATCCAACCCAATATATATATATATATATATATATATATACATATACATAGGTGTGTGTTATGTTAATGGTCTAAGGCCTATATTTGTGTTCCTTGTTTTCCCCAATTCTTATAATATGTTGTTCAATCTTCAATGTTTGGGTTCCCCATAATTTAATTCTATTACACGTTCATAATGCTTAATGCTATTCCTATTCTTGACTTCTTTTGCAACTATACAAAGTGGTTTATGGGTGAGAATTGATGCCTTATTTTAATTATCTAAATTACATATTTTCCCAATTTCTTTTTTAATATTTCTTCATCAAAATACCTAAAATTTATTCGGTTTACATCAGAATGAATTTTTATTCCTCCGTTCAACATGAGACCTCTAGACATTTTTGATATTTGAAACTCAAGCTCAAACCAATCAGACACCATTCTTATGATTGATATATACAAAGAGATATCATTTGAATTAATGTAGAGGGCCAAAACAAAAGGAAAAACATTGACTAAATTTAGAAGTTGAGTGGTGAAGAGGTCAATTTGAAGGAATAAAAAGCTTTGGCATGTTTATTATATAATTGGAAATTTATATTTAAAATTTAATATCATTATTTTTTTTAATTAATTTAAATACGTCTAGATTCGGTTGCACGCTTTCCCAAACAAATCGTACAACTAATGAATGTATTAGGGTTTTTTTTATTAATTTATTTTCCCAAAAAGAAAAATCAATTATAAATGAATTTTGACCCATTATTTTAGGTCAAATTACTCTAATAAATAGGATACAATTTACCATTTTTAATCCAGAAATTAAGCAATTCTTCACTCCAAAAATCGAACATAAATTATATTACTTAAAAGAAAAAATAACTATATATCTATACTATATTATAAAGCATTTGACTAAAACTCTTAAAAACTCTTAAACTCTTAAAACTCTTAAACCCGTTCATCG